AATTTTTTTTAAAAAAAATTGATTTTTCTCCAAGGTTTCTGCTCATTTCTGACACAGGATGGGGGGTAAACGTGGAAGAATTGGCGGGAAAGAAAAATAAGCTTGACTGCCCACTGTTCGCTGGTGAAAAATTTCCTCAAGGCCACATCCAGCCAAATTTCTCAAGTCAGAAGAGGTTCGTCGTCGGCGTTCCAGTTCGCGAAGTTGTCAAGTTGCGGATCGGTGAGAGGGACTAGAAGCACTTCGTCTTCATCGTTGGGAGATGGCGAGGTGTTCCGGTTGTCCCCAGATTCCGCGGAACAGGTGGGCGTGGAGGAGAAAAGCCGGACACGGAGGCTGCTCATGACCCCCGCAAACCGTGGAGTAGGCCGCGGGATGTGAAGATCTGGCGTGGGTTCTGCAGGAGTCGGTGGGACCTTGACGGGAAGAGGCGCCGGTTGGTTTTCTGGAAGCTGGAATGAAGCATCTCCGTCCCCGCGAGACGGCTCAGCGAGGTCGGCGGGAGCGGAAGATGAGTTAGAGGCGCCAGTAGAAGATGAAGCAGGGGAGGTCGGGTGACGCAGTAGCCCCATTCGGCGCATGCGCCTCGTCAGACGTCGTACAAAGCGGCTTTGATGAGGACGACGCCCTCTGCCAGCCCCCGGAGGGCTAGCTGGGTCTCGTCGCAAGATATGCAGGAGAGACCGCAAATTCCCCAGGACCGAATTCTGAAACGACAACCCAGAAGAAAATGAGATCTTCAGCTTCACAAATTCACAGCTTGGGAGGCTGAAGCTGAGAACTGTCCCTTGAACTACAGCTAGTCCTCGTCTTACGGCAGCTCATTTGAAGTCACAACGCCGCTGAAAAAAAGTGACTTACGACCGTTTTCACAATTACCACGGTTGTGCTAGCTATCCCTGATCCCACACGATCAAAATTCAAACATTTGGCCACTGGTTTATAGTTGTGACGGATCCTGGGGCCATTTTGTGACTGTCTGACAAGCAAAGTCAATGGGGGAAAAAACAGATTCACTTACCAACTGCGTTACTAACGTAACACCTGCAGTGATTCACTTAACAACTGTAGCAAGGAAGGTCTAAAATGGGGCGAAACTCGCTTCACTACTGCCTCACTTAGCAAATTTGGGGGTCAATTGTGGTTGTAAGTCAAGGATTACACACTACAATGGGATTCACTTACCTTCCCTACCGGTTCACAAATGTGGGGGCATGCACGCTTTCTCGCTTTGCTTGCACTCGCCGTGTCTGTGCAGGCGTAATGCTCACACATGACGTTGGGGTGGGTGGGAAGTGCCTCCCGCCACCGCCAATATTAGTTTGCCCAAACTGGAGAGAACTAGCTGAATATCACCTCTGATTACATGGAGTCTTAGTTCTCCTCCGGGTCTCCGGATACGCTTCAAGTTGCTAGTTATTACTTATAAAGCCCTTCATGGTATTGGACCTGGGTACTTGAGAGACCGCCTGCTGCC